TTCGCTCTTACAGGCCTCGGAAAAAGTAATCTTGTCCGGTAGGCCAGCACGTTTTCTTCCGCCTCAAAATCACCAGTCTATCAGCTTTCCGGATGAAACTGGGACTATGCACTCCGAATGTGAAGAATGATCCATGGCACATGAGCTTGCGACTCCCCTACCACATCTTCTTTAGTGATGTTAGACATTTCACAAACACAACGGTATCCGTTAACCTGCACGGTCCGTGTTGTTGATCTTCGTCGAGGGAACGATGACCATCCCAAATAAGTATCAGTTCCTTTTTCTATCCACAGTAGTAAAGCCCGGAGCCCGACAAATTTCCCAATCTTTAGCATACTGCTCATTGGACCAGTTGACGTAAGGAGGTCCGTCTGAACTTGGTGAAGAATATAGGAGCGTTCGATAGAAAAAACTTAACCGGTGGACAAATCCCTGGGGAACGGGACTTTATGCGTGCAATCGCACAGATGTGCTACAATGCCGAAATTATAACGACCAAGTACAGTACGTGACTGATCTCATGAAATGTTGGCCGAAATTCTGAAATGCGGTTTAGAGTAGGAGGGATAACCAGGGTGGGGTTGTAATGTTGCTTATCAAACAACACAATCCCATAGTATTCCAGACTCGCCAGGAGGTCGGCTTTTGAATGCACTTCTTTTCGACCTCTCATAAAAGCCACACTTGGTAAACAAATGACTGCTGAAGGAGCATGTATTTTTCATATTGATTTTCGATGGACATATAAATCCAATTATTCCATATGGAAGACATGCACAAAATATGCTTACTTTTACTTGTTGGGTAGAGAATAACACATTTTTCTTGTATAAAGTGTAAAGACAATGTTATTCTCTACCAAACAAGTAACAGTAAGCATATTTTGTGCATGTCTTCCATATGGAATAATTGGATTTATATGTCCATCGAAAATCAATATGAAAAATACATGCTCCTTCAGCAGTCATTTGTTTACCAAGTGTGGCTTTTATGAGAGGTCGAAAAGAAGTGCATTCAAAAGCCGACCTCCTGGCGAGTCTGGAATACTATGGGATTGTGTTGTTTGATAAGCAACATTACAACCCCACCCAGGTTATCCCTCCTACTCTAAACCGCATTTCAGAATTTCGGCCAACATTTCATGAGATCGGTCACGCACTGTAGGTATCAAAGTAAGCACGCAAACAGTAACAACGCATCCGCCTTTTTCGCACATCCTCACTATTAGAAACGGCCAGTTATAGGGTAATTCATGCAGTATGACTTCTTGGAGAAGGAGGCATGATCGTCGGAACGGCAGCTTTATTTGCCTGACGTTTCAGATTACGGCTCGATCCCATCATCAGATCTTGAACTCGCCTCTCCGCTTTTATTGGCAAGTATAGCGTCGCTTTTAACCCCATTCCCTGTAGACAACTGTGATATATCTCTGCCGTCAAGACACAGAATCCAAGCTCTCAGTACGATGATTTTGTGGAAGCGAGGTACAAACACATCGGTGCCTGACCATGACAATTCCATAGAACCGGACAGAGCTGTGCAACTTCACTACACCATTCAGTTGGGAAGTTAGTTAAATCCTTGTCACAGTCCTAATGCCGCTACTCCCCGCACTATGAGCATGATCTTAACCACATTGGACGTTGTTGGGCTTTTAAAGAAAATCTTTACCTGTCAACGAAAAACTGGAAACTAGATGTCACTCATTTGGCATAAACATGCGTGGCAAATGAAGTGCTGCAATACATTAAGTGACGCAATAGGTAGAACGTTCCCTTTTTCACCGGAGCGCAGGGTGTATGCTCTTGACTACCTAACGTCAACGGGTAAGTATCAGAATGTAAACATTCTCATATAGGCATTCCTTAACTCCCGATTAGTGAAGTCAAGGGTGAAAAGTACCGCCTCTTATACGCAACAGAGTGGACGTTTCTGAAATCTTAAAAAAATCACTATTATCGAAGCAACAACCATCAATGAGGTTGAGATCACAATACCCTGACACTAGAAAAATAACTGTTGTTTTATGGCCGCTACTATCAGCAGCGATGACGTAATGGACTGCTCAAGATTGCATTCTTTAGAAACGCGGTTGCCCTCTGCGTATAATTTTTGCATAACTTTTGGAGTGGAACACGACCAAAAGTGCGGAAAGATGTAGCAAGAGGGGAGCAAAAGCCATTTGTCGGTATAAAAACTCTGACGAGGTCAGAAACCCTTGTCGACCATCCTCACAATCGCACAGATAAATTATAACCGAAACATGCTACTAGGCCTGAAATTGCAGTAGCTAAGAACTTAGATGGTGACTTTCACTGTAATGTTTCTAAGCATCAGTAGTAGGTAGCTTTGCAGCGAAATCAGCTTTTCGAATTTTGATGACTTGGGTTTATCTGGTCGTATTTGGTCATCACAGTGCTTTATAATCCGTGGCATGGAAGACTGGAAAGCGACGAGATATGTCTCAGGATGGGGATTCAGGCTGTAATGGCTCATTCTTGATGTGGCCTGCATGACTTCCTTGCTCAAACAGGATCCAAGCTACCCCTTGTTTGTGTGAAAACCTAGTTCACAGCGCGCTGACTAGGCGTGTATGGCACGCTCAGACGAACTGTTTAAATCAGTCAGCCGCCCCGTCATTCCCGCTTCTAGTCTTCTTGATCCGGTCTTGACACCGAACTTAAATGGGTAACGGGAAGAAGGAGTGCGGCAGATGCAGCGTCAGTCTATTACTACTACAAACTACCGACTCAGACTGGCCATAAGTGGGATCAATGTTTCGAAGTTATCCTTCCGCATAAACAACTAAATTCCCAAGTCGCCGTAGCTACAGTGGTGATCCCCATAGAGAATGCGGATGAGCAACAGCGAACTGGCAAGGAGCGAAAGCATAAGATGTTAATGCACTGTAAGTCTTATGGCAAAAAAGCAACATGTTTTTAAAATCCATTTGTACCTACTAGTTTGAGCTAACTTTAAACAAACCATGACAAAAGAGGTGATTGGTACTTGCGGTTGACCCGCTATCTACCAAAACCCGAAACCTTACGTGTTATTTTCCACATGGAACTTGTGCTACCGAATAAATATAGTCGTCCTGGTCGTCCAATTATCACCCCTTCTGCCCAACTGTGCGCAGGCCTTTCGGGTCCGAAGTCGCAACAAAAAGGTGTTAATTCAAACCAGCACTTTATTACGACAACAGCTAGGCCCAGCTATTAAGGCAGGACGAATTAACAGCAGGACTATGATAAAAGCCATATGTGTCCTTTTCAAAACATCCCACTCCTGCATACAAAAGTGAAGACGCGACATTGGCCACAAAATTTAAATGAGGACCCTCTCGATTGCTCTTTTGGTTAACTTCGAAGCAATTTGCTCAAAAGGAAAACGAAATTTCACCAATCGGGAAACTGTCTCTATTACCCTGTAACTTCAGAATCATAATGTTTAGCATATGAAAAACTAATGCCAGGATGTGTATGTTTACACGGTGACGATTGTCCGACTCAACATCAACATTGGGAACTGTCGTCGTGTGAAATGGCCGACAGCCGCCTGACATGTTGGCAGAAAGTCACATAGACGGCAATCCTCTTCCTCTGAAGCTATCAAATGTGCCCAGGTAGGTACATGTTTGTCTAAACTAATCTAGCATTACGAACTTTGTGGGCATCAATAAAGTCCTGCTAAGGCGATCTTCCATAAGCAAATGCGGCTGGATATACGAGTCCTCAACTAACCGTCACGTACCGGAACGTGAGGTAAACTGCGGGGTCTGTGAGCCGCAAAACAGCAAGGGCAACGTTGAGAAACTGTTGGCTAAAGATTCGAAGGTGATATCCCACAAATAGACTCAAACGGCCACCCATTCGTATACCTGCCGGAAAGTGGAAGTGGAAATTCTAGCGGCAGATCATCCCTGTCAAAAAATCCGATGACGCAAAGTAACTGCTTATGATTTAAGAAAGGATGCTAAAGGAATTTTGCAAAATCCAGAGGCCGGGTAACCAATTTGCTAGGAGCAACATCGGAAAAGGAGTAATCATGGTTTCTAAGTTAATACTTAATTAGTATTAAGGGAACTATCCAAATTTCAAACGAGAGGGATAGGTCGCTGTTTATAGGCTACTACACTTTACTATGATGAAAGCAGAAATATAGTTATTTGACTTAATCATCAAAATGAAAGTCACTAGAAGCTGCTACTTTCATACGTATGCGGGCCTCTTCACGAGGATGCTGATATGCCAATGTTCAGAGGTAAGAATTTCTTCCAAGACTCTGTCCCATCTCCATCTTTAAAAAAATTATGCCCTCATGAGTCCACCATTATGTGTCTCGCTGTACGGTTTAAATTCAATTTTCCTGTTATTTATTCCAACACTACCAAAACCAGTCCTTTTTTTTGCAACTCCAAGTGTCATCTCGTCACTTTTGCAGGAGGGAAAGCTCGAAGGATTGTGGAGTACGATAGCTTGAACATTCCACTTCAGCTGGTACGGACCGGAGTCGTCATTTATCTTACACCGAATCCAAGTAAGCCTTCAGCACGTACTACTGCAATTCCCGCTACGAAATGATTAGACTTGCAAAAGTTTGAGCCATATCAAAGAACAGGTATACAGTTGCTTTATTCATATTAACTGGTTAATTGACGAAAATTTTTTAAATAAATGATAAAGTTTAAAAGAAAGACCCAGCTATCCTCCGGCCAGTAACGCAAAAATCTCAGCAAACCAGTTTTTGAGGAGACAATGCCGAACGTCCGGAAATGAAATGACGCTGCTGACGACAAAAAACAAGGTAGTAGTGTATGCTATAAGAGAACCAGAAAGAGTGACACCAAGGGGTTGAATAGTTCCTACCACAGCCGGTAGATTGAGAACTGCGTTTAGTGGCTGGTTGATTAAGCTTAAAAAATGAACCTGCATTCCCGTTGTAGGGTCCCTCAGGCCTAAAGCTGAAAAATGTCTGTCAGCGACCGTAGATAAGTCGGAAAGCATCGTTTTGCTGACCTTAGACTTTTCTAGGAACAACTTTCTACCACATGATTCCCACATTCAAATACCTTTTTGCAACCAAGTACAAATTGTGCCCGCCGACTTAACTTACTTAGAGGACAGAGACGGATTTCAGATTAGATATGGCGCCTCAGACTAGGGTCCTCACTGGCCGTTGCGCAGATCAAGAGGACTGTGTGCGGTTAAGAGGCATGTGTAGGCGAAGGCAAAGAAATGAGAATGATTTATAGTTCATTAACTGCCGTCCATCGGACATACCCAAAATCGAGCTCAGAAATAAGCGTGAGCTGAACTGGAGAGTGAGAAGCTTTGAAATCAACTGTTCTGTCAATGAGACGTGAGCCGGCGGTAAAATTCTGCCAACTCCTTGCCAGACTATAAATCAAATAGAAGGCCGAGGTTTGGACGAACATGTAGACAACGTGGTAGGTTACCAACTAATTTACGTTCAACGAGGCTAAGTGCGAATGTACTGGCAATGGTTTGAAATCCATCCTACGGCACGTACATATGGAATCGGCTTCACATGTTAGAGGTGGGAAATCAAATTGCGGTCGTGATAAGGGTCAACGATCCTGGCACTATGTGTTGCGGAACCAAACATGGTCCATAGGGAGGGATAGTGTTAATGAGTACAGAGAGGATGAAATAGCGCACTGCACGTTACAGAAAAATGTAATAAAAGCACTTTTGTGGAGGCATTCAGGATATAAACAAAGGCGCCCTTCCAAACGGCGTCTCAAACATTAACAGGGGCTACATAAAGCCAGCTTGGCATAACTATCCTTATGGAGGCTAACGAAACGTCTAGCTCGCTTAAACATTAAAAGCACAAGCATGTCTCACCAGAATATGCATGAATAATGACATCATTCGTAGTCTGGGACACCCAAGGATGGGTTTGCATATCCATAAAATCCGGATAAATTTTCCGATCGGTCTCGTACAGCATCATCTCCACGTTTTCTTCAGAGAAGAATCCAGCCCGAGTCTATAGGTCTTAAATAGTCTGATCCACTCCAAGTTAGCGATTAATTTCCAAGGAAATTGAAAGCGCCAGAATCAGAGAAGAATTAATTAGTTCCCTGACCGTCAGTAGTGACAGTCTCAGTGGTTATTGTCGCCAAATCAGTTGACTAGGTCGCACTTTAATCCCAAAAGTGGACCTAATATAACTTGGTTAATAACGTCACACATCTCAATCAGTACTGGTTTATTACGCGAGGATCCAATGTTTACCGGTAGACAATGAGATAACTTCTCTAATTTTCTACCAATTTAAGAAGAACCAATAAATCTCTGATGTAGTACACATTACACAGTGCTTTGCCATGCAAGATACAGATAAAAGAATTAATGTTCAACACCGATAATCGCAGGATCAGGCATCAAGCAAGAGCCAAAATCGTGAGTGTAGAAATAAGATTGTGTGGGTTCCGGTCGGCGTGTGATATCTAGGAAACTTCTGTTGGTTAGACCTGGTTGTAGCGCACCTTAAATACACGGTGTACATATTTACACGCGAAGACGCCCTCGTGGCGGGTCCCGAAAGGTATGCAAAGCTGCGGAGAACTCGTCCAAGCCCGCCCGATTATAGTTGCCGGCGGGTGAAAAAATGCTAGCCTTGTTGCGACATCTCCGTTCGGCGAGGATGCTTTGGGTTTACTATTAACCGCTGAACATTTGACCGACATTGATCTAGGGACAGTGACTCAATTTCGTAGCTTCACTTATAACCATAAACTTTTAGAAACTGGACCTCGCAAATCAATTAGCGATTGCCACTTTCGATAATTATCAAGAGAGCGGTACCACAATCACGAAATATTAGATTGCACATCTCCCAGGGATACCAACAAATCACCCCTAAAATTAAATGATCGCTCACGAGAACGCGAGCACATCTAATCTGAAAACAGAGTCGGCATTGTGCTCACAAAGGATTGCCCGACAGTACTGACAACAGTCTAGCAGTGTAACCGAAGAATCTGATGGACAGAGAATTATTATAATTGCCACAGTCGGGCAGCAATTCAATTAGCCTGGGCTCCGTATGTGCATCTCATTTCCACCGTCCACAGAGTGACACCTCGACGTCATGCAGGGGAGGGTGATGGACAAGATAGTCGTCCGACCTCGTTCCACTCCTTTTCCGCATTCCAATTTCAGGAGAATGCCTTGAGTGGACAAGCGGACACCCAAAATGAACAGACGAGACTGCTATTCCACAAATAAATGTACAAAACAATCAGGCACTGGATAGCCATCATCAAGCAAATAGGAGTAGTTCAAACAGAAGGCGAAAAGCTTCTGGTGAGAAGGGTAATTGGGAATTTTTAGGAAATTGAAGTTTTAAGCAACGTTAATCAGTGCCTACGTGAACCAAAGTACAGGTAACGCATAGAACCGGAATCCTATTGGCACAGGGCGTCCTGCTCCTCCACCTACTACTATTATTACTACTAATTAAAGCCAATAAAAATCCCCTTGTAGTCGGCGAGAAAAAACACGGCAACGCCTGTAAAGGAATTTTTCTGTATTCGCAAGTATTGTTGGACAGAAACCTGGCCAATCACCAAGGGCGCGGTTTGTCACAACGGCGATAGCAGAATATCTGGTAGCCCATAGTAGTTATCATCCAAAATTAAGGTTAAAGGAGTTTATTATTCGGCCATAAACGTCAGGATCGCCTAGCGTAAGGCGCTATGGTCAACTCGAACGCGTTATAGCACGAGGAAGTCTTGCTAAGTCTAGCGGAAACGACCAATTACCAGTTACCAACGTCCCTAAATTAACTCCCGAAGTTCAGACATACGAGTGAAATTATCTATTTATTCATCTAGAAACAACAAACCACCTGATCCACTAAATATAAAAGAGAGTACAGGCACTTCCCTAAAAGGCCTCTCTTTTCTATTATAAAGGTTGCGTGGAACAAAAAACCTGCCGCGACTGTCTTCACCAGGACCTGAAAAACTTTGTTTGCCAGTGGTGCGCGCAGACACTGACTTGCAGTTCGGGAGTTGACCGCGACTGGCAACGTTGGCATGAGATGAAGTGTCATCTATCGGTACGATATAATGTTTACTGAGAAAGTATAAGTAGACACACACGCGTTGTATAATTGACTCAAACGTAATATTCTCCTTTCACGCCTCGACCGAACAAAGGCCGCGAGGACCCACTGTGGTAAGTCCGCCACTGACTGAATGAAGTGATACTTGCCGTCAAACGGAATTAGTGAAAGCACCGAAACTAATTAGTGCACATTTTGAGATTTCGAGTAATGATTGCCATGTATAAAAGATAGAAATTCGACAAAATTCGTCTTTATTCAAACGAAAAGGTAATGCACTAGATACATTAGACGGAAGGACTCCGAGGTGGGCTTTCGTTCTATGCCGACGACCCAATATAAACCTGTAAAGACAAAGTAAACGAGATTGAGAAACAACGCACCTGACAAAGTTGTCACACAGGAAAAGTTTCTAGCATATTGAGATGCCAGATGGCGATTTACCCACAAGAACGATTTAGTGCTTTGGTCTGATTCACAGAAATGCCATATCAGATCATCATAAAGTTAGAGCCGAAGATTAAAATGCTAACGTCTTCCCTTTAAAGCCTTTACAGCTAATCTGCCGGCCCTGGTTGGAGTGCTGCTGGTATTCTCTGGAGTTGTGGCTGGTGTCACGTACTGGGGAAATCAACTGATTACAAACAGTCAATCCTCCCAAGCAAGTGGAAGTTGCAGGGTAAGCAATTATCAATTAATTTCCTGTAAAAGCCAAGGATCGGTACATCCATCTTTCCTAAATGGACGCGGGGATAGATTGGAGTTTAACAAAATTAAGGTCAACATTCGACAAGCAGTATAAAATACACTGATTTATGGTGTACGAATTGAGCATTGAAATTCAAAGCAGAAACACAACACGTAGCAGACAATTCAAACGTAATTTTCATAAACAAACACTAGGCGGAGGCCTTTCATGACCACAACATCGCCGTCGGCGGAAAGACATGTTTGACCGCCACGCCATCTCAACAGCGCTAAAATTCTGAATGGAGTGGAACAATAATAAATTTAGGCACACGTACTGCCCAGAGTAAAACCCTCCGTATAAAGAACGGTCTATTAGGTCACTATAATGGTTCAGGGACACAGCAGAATGACGTCCCAGCAGTGAACGAGCACAGCGCACTAGAAAAAGCGGCTGAAGGTACGGAAAGCACATACATGTAACAGAAAAGGCGGATTTGGTGGACATCGGGATCAGCGTCTCCCCGTTGATATACAATGTAGATAAACACAAGGCTAAACGGGCTTTACTTCCCACCAAAAACACAGAGGCTGTAGAAATTCTTCTGAAGTGCAGAACACTCTGGCGACAGACTTATGAAGATGCCACCGCTAACCTGCACAACCTTCAAAACTACGGCTACCAAAGAGGACTGTTTGATGCTCATATTTACGCAAAACGTTTTTACACTACTCCGCGCTCCCCAGATGACCCTTATACTGACGCCAGCAATGGCTAGCCACAGTTCTGCTATTGGGAGCAACTGACCCTTTTTCGTGAAAACGGGCGAATAGTTACTTAGCTACAGCAACGACCTCATACATTTTTGTAAAGTGTAGAAATCAGCGCTCCGAAAAGTTTTGAAGAAGAATGACCGATCACAGGAAAAATGGCAGTGACACCAAACCAGTTAGTTTCATAGAAAACTTTCAAGATCGTTCAACTGAGTATTCAATTGCGGCTGAATTTACAAGCCGGACACGATTACCAAGTCGACGTTAGACTCTTAGGAAAAGCTGAGCCAAGAGCAAGATAGGCACACTCAAGGGTCTGGCGGAATAAAGATTCATGAGCTTCGTAGGATTGAGTTTCCTTATCCCAAAATCAGGCTTTGGATGGACTCTTAACTAACAAACAACATATAAATCTACAAATGGCATATGGCAACCACGTCACGATGCCGACACCGGCGTCTAAAGTACGTGATGGAGCAGTCCATCTGCCAGACCTCAACACCAGATCCTGCCGGCCGTGCTGCTTCTTGATTCCTAACTACTGACGCAAACTTGCTTATCTCACAACAATCACTCAGATGGCAACTCATCTGCCATTCATTGACGCGCAAAACAGCCGGCAACTAAGCCAAGTCCGACGGTGACTTCTTCGTTGACGTCTTCTACGCAAGCGGTTCCTTGGCAAGCCCTGACTGGCTTCCTGGAGACCTTGATGAACTTGTCTATAGGCTGCTCATTCAAAAGTTCTCCTTTCCAAACCGGACTGCGACACCTGAGGCAAGGCATCCTTGGTAGAAGCCGATATTTCCCATACAGGCCTGCTCATTCAGCCAACCACCAGTGTAACCTCAAACAACGCCGTCCCTTCGCCAACAATCTTGCGTGTTATTGGTTGATTAGAGCCAGTTAGGGGCTTCCGGATGTCTAACCACACCCCACTGGTCTAGCAAACGTATACGTGCCCAACATGACTGTGATCATTCATGATTTGAGCGAACATATGGAGTGCATGTACTGCTTAGTCACGCGCGAAAAACAGTAGCAGCGGATGTAGTTAGCTTACTCCGAGAGCAGCAAATCTAACTCCTGCGGTGGAGAACAAATTGGAAATAGGCCATCGATTGACCTTCACTTCGACTACCCACATAAGGTGGCATCGGAAACAATGTAACAGCACACGGATCATAATTCAGGCTAAAAAGGACGTGCCCAAACCACTCAGGGTAGCCGGAATATTCCAGCGAAGGAGGACCCTTACATTGGGAAGAACTACTACTGGTTTAACCGGAGTTATTAAAATTCAGTGGCTTTAAAAAGGCCAGGGGTCCCCGATGAATGAAAACCGTCTTCACCCTTCGGACATCTTCAAATAAGGATGGAACCTCCAAAAAACCACGAAGTACTTCTCCCCACAACAGGTGCTTGGCGGACTGATGTGTCTCAGCAGGTTATTGGAGATCGTCAGAACTATGGTGAGATGGATATTATGAGAAAATATTAAGGAGAGAGGACCACCACGTGGACCGTGCTTCAATCAGAGTTACTGAAACTGCTTAATCAGGCTTCGGTGTCCATAGCATTGCAGGGCATGCAGCCCACGGCGTTCCAATGAGGGTTGGGGATCAGCGATAAATTCCGGAACGCTGAAAAAGATCGAACTCGGAGATACAAGTGTTGGAATAGATTGTTTAACCGGCGTTGTTCAAGAAGTTTTATAGGGAGGAAACAATGATTTCATCCTGAAGTTGGCCATTCAGACCCGCTGCGGTAGGTCAGAGTGGAAGAAAACCGCGATTGCGCGAGAACGGAACGATCAAGGCGCCATGCGAAGGAACTGGTCGTCGACCCCAACTCGTAAACGGACCATGCGCAGCCAACGCAGAGCTCGAATGGATGAAACCCTCCAGACATCGTAAACACCAACGCTGACATTTGAAGAAATCGCCACCAACAGCCAAGAGGCTTGGTAAGAAAGGCGCTTGAAGCCAGATAACACAGAAATGATCACAATCTCAGAAATTATAATACTTTGCTCGCCAAATGCGACTATGATTACTACGACCCGAGTAAAACACTGCTTATGCACAAACAGGAGGCTTAAGCAAAACTGAGACCACTGCATTCATTCAGAACTGTGGTGAGATAGGACACACTGGCGGGTGACCAGGCGGTGATTGCACTATGCGCGACCGACTGTGATGAACGCCGAAGCAGTTAATTTCGGCAGGCTTGGTTACATGCAAACGATATCCTACAAATTCTGCAATTCCAGCGCGCTCACCACAATCTCCTATTGTTCTCTGGTAATGGGCCCGAGTGGAAATTTGAAACGTCAGGCAAACAAAATTGTCGACGCAGTGATCAAGTATCTACTTTTTTTTAGTAAGACTTCATAAAGTAGCCTACTATGTATACCATAACTCGGCTAATGAATATCCGTATGCCGCATAAATTATCACACAAAGTTAGATGCGATGCAGACACGCCGACTGCACATAATTTCCAGCCGTTCGTTAAAGTCGATGGTAAAGCGCCGCAGCCACGTTTAGGACGGCTGCGCAGGAAGACACGGAGTACGTCAGGTAGGGCCAGGATCCAATTGTCACCTATTGGGTCCAGATATTTTGCGCAACCCTTACCCCGTAAATTACACTTCCCCAGACACTACAAACATCTAGAAGCACGAGCGCAGCTAAACAGACGCAAGTAAAGTATACGAATGACTTCGTAGGTACACTTAAAGCGATACGCGCAAGCAGCTTGCCTCTCCGGCATACAACAACAATAGGAATGGTGTAGGCGCGTTCGCTTTGTAGGGCTGCATTCGTTGAAAAGTGAAGGATGGCTGTCATCTCTTAATGAGGAGGCATTTGAATAAGGTTTGCGCAGGGGATGATGTTGGCAAAATAATGACCTCCCTCCACCTTAAACCGGATTATAAAACACGCTCATATAAAATAGCGGTACGGCTATGTGAGCGCATCAATACCACAACATCAGCAAACATGGTGCTTATACGACCATCTGTCCGAATGAGACTGACAAAAAAATAAGTGACACGAGCAAGGGCGCATGCGGAAGCGCTACAGTAACGACTTCAACAAGAGCGGGCATGAAGCGTATTTCCTGAACAAAGTGGTTTCGCAATCTCTGAGCGAAGAATCTTAAAACGACGACTACACGCGCGGTTGCTTGTCGTTCGTAAGCGCTAGTGAACCGCATTGTCCAAAAAGCTGGGTTGAACAGTGTTAACTTGCGATTTATACGCATTTATGAATAAAACTGCACCTACCTCACTGCCTCTCTCCACACCCACCATGCGGGAACCACAGCACGACTAAAGACTGGCAAAAGGCATCGGTTAACTTGGTGTAAAGCCTCGAGGTTAAGCACGTCAGTCCCATACTCCACACGAACTAGTCTCTGACAAGTCGCATCTCTCATCAACAATTCACAGAGAGACCAAATTGCGAAGCAATCCCAAGGCCGGAAAAGGAACGAACTAAACCATTAAACCATAACCTTTCAAATCAGCTTGTGGTGAGTGACCCGTGGTAGTTTAGGAGAAAGTAAGCACATGATCAGTCCCACTATTCCCCTCCTCATCGCATACCAATGACAAGCTCAAGGCAAACAAACTAGATATGGAATCGGGTGCGGTGGCCGACGTGA